ATTATTATCATCATTATTATTATTATCATCATTATTATTATTATCATCATTATTATTATTATTATTATTATTATTATTATTTTGTACCGGTGAACTTGCCAACCTTTTTCTTAAAAATAAATGTGATGTTGAATTCACTTTTTTGACCACAATTTTGGGTGTACTGTTTTGTTTTTGTTTTTACTGATAGGGGTTGGGGGGTGCGGCTTATAGTCCGGTGCGGCTTATATGTTGATGTTCACGCGTTTTTTTTTTAAATGGCGGGTGCGGCTTATAGTCCGAAAAATACGGTAAGTCCAAAAGTGGAATGTGGAGAAATAGGCAAATATAGTGTTTTGATTAAAACGTTTACAAAAATTGCATTTTACAAAACATAATGAATTAATTCCTTATCAATGTATCATTTGAATGAACTGTCTGAAATACTATCCTAAAAAAAACTGAAGCCTTTTCTTTTAGCAGTAGCAAAAAAAACCTAATTCTGACTAAAAACACCTTAGAATTTTGTATTTTTCCCTGTGAGCTAGCAAAGTGTTTGTTCCTTTCCAACTGGGAAATCTTAATATACAAATACTATTTGAGGTTTCCTCTTTATATTGACATCAAAAACTACTCAATAAATTTACACAAAAATAGGATTCAGACAAAACAGTAATGTACTATAGCAACCAACAAGACAAATTAGGTAATATCTCAGGATAAGCTTATATCAGAATGATCCGGGTATCAAAATGTAGCTTTTAAAGCAGGAATTTAAAGATGTAGTTAGATCATTTTGACCTAATTTGACTTAATCCTCATTTCGATATGATGGGTCACATATTTCTCAATAGATAAAATTAACAAATTTCAAGACAACATCCAACTCTTTGTATTGTAACATCAGTTGTGTAACTTATTTCTTTAAAGTGAAAACTGTTGAAAACAACAAGACTGTTTTGTCTTATTGCACAAATTAAAATCCAGCACCACGTGTTTCTATTGATGTCATTTCCCCACTAGAAAAAATGTGTGATGGAGGTCCATGGAAGGCAAATAAGTTTAAATCAAATAAGCAAAAGAGGATGCAGTTAAAATAAATAAAAGATATTCAAGCTACGTTTTGAGCATCTAAAACACGTCCAACGCTTCAAGTTAGCAGCTTGTGCTCTTTCAGGTCAGACGTGTTCAGACTGTCAGGAAGCTCCTCTGTTGTTTTCCTCTGCCGGTCTCTGTTTAATGGTGGATGAAATAAAGAAAGTGGCGGTACTTTATTTACTTTGAGCAAGCAAACGTCGTGCTCACCAGATAATTAATCCACCAGATAATTCAGAGGCGGTCTGTTCGGTGAGTTTCACTGCAGGAGCTGTGAGGCTTTCAGCTACACTCAGACCGAGCTCTGTTTACTGAACCAGCAGCTGCTGACGTCATGATGCTGCGTTCAGGACAAGCATGGAAAACCCACCACTCTTACACCAATACAGTCGCAACAATGCGTTTAGGTACCGAAACATGCAACAGTTTGATGTTACGTGAATAGATACTCAGTAGTACCAACAGAACTCGGTCTGTACTTTAAAAAGTATCGAATTCGGTACCCATCCCTACAGTCAAGTTGATTGAAAAAAACGAGACGACTGAGAGGAGTAGCATCAGAACCTGGGAGCAGATTAGGGATTGTCATCTTGTGTTTTTATTTCAACATGTATGCATCCTCTTTGCAGAGTGACCCCTGTCACAAGGTGGAGGGTCAAAGTCCCTCTAAAACCCTGGGTGCTACAGAAGGGAGCCCTGGTTTCTGTGCTCTACTGGCTGACCAGGTGGGGTCCTGAAAACAACCTGGAGATAACTGGAGAACAGTTTGAGGAAACTTGGTCTGATGTGGAGAGATGGCATCCATCTCACCTGGATGAAGCTGCTCTCCTTTCTAGGAATTTGAACAATTGTGTATGTCATCTAAATAATCCAGAGTCCAGTCCATCCAAGATCTTAAGATCCTGGATGGACTTAGTTCATTGGTAGTGTAGGATTTGTTTGTTGTATATTTTTTCGCCGGAAAGTTCAATTAAACAGTTTCTCTATAAACCCAGGTGTGCCCAGTAATTCAGTTCAGTTACACACCTACAGGATGCTTGTTATTTAATTTATTATATCTTACTGTTTGGACATCCATGCAGAGTGCTCAAAGGCCAGTTCAGCGCTGCCAATCTTCTTCTTACACAGGTCCATGTGCTTCCTGAACTGAGCGATGGCATCCAGAGGAGTGTTGTGTTGAAAACACAAGCGACAGATCTGAAGAGATCAAACACAGACAGGTGTGTTGACGAGACGCAGACAGGTGTGTTGATGAGACGCAGACAGGTGTGTTGATGAGACGCAGACAGGTGTGTTGATGAGACGCAGACAGGTGTGTTGATGAGACGCAGACAGGTTTGACGATCAAAAACAGGATAAAACAAGTGGAACACATGGGACTGCTCCAGTGCTGAAGACAACCAGAACACCTGAGCAGTGAATCAACCTCATGTCTCTGTACACAGGGAGAAAAGATAGTTTGGATGTACTGGAGTGGGGTTCTTTGTAGACTTATAAACGATGTTTTACCTGTCGTTACAGGTAAGACCAGCTCTGTAAATGATCTCTGATTCTAACAGGACTGATGAGCTAATACTGTAGTTAGTCTGGATTCAGCCTTGATTGAATTGAGCATAAACTCCAGAATTTACTTGAAATCTTTCATAGATTACGTTGGTATCTCCTCTGATCTTTGTGGTTAGTTACAAACAGCAGCAACACGTAGCCCTTCTGTAAATTCAGGGGTCACATCGAGCATCAATCCCCAAAAATATTTTAATCGTTACATCTGATGTTAAGTTCAGACAGATATTCCTGCTGAAAAGTGAAAAAAAAAAACATGGTTGTGCAGTAAGTCATGCAGTGCTAACCCTCACATGATTCTGAGCAGAACCTTACCTTGTAGTTTATAAAGCCAGCCAGAGTTTTAATCTCCAACATGTTGGTCTCGTGTGCTCGGAGCTCGTGAACCAGACTGTAAGCAGTTCTGTAGTACCTACAGAGAGGAGCAGTGGCAATCCTTTAGTTCAGCACACTGAGGTAAACAGGTTCTACCGGAGGCTGAAGCCAGGGACTAAGGCTAGAGTTAGCTTTGTTTTTATTCAGAAACACTGTTTCCAGTCAATATTTGGTGATTAATCTGATTAGTGCCACCCCGGCAGACGGCTCGGTGCTCCTGAGAATACTAACTGGAATGAGGGTATTTCTCTGTCAAATCCAAATCGCATTTTGTCAAAATTTTTATGATAAGTTGGAGACAATACAGGAAAAATATATTTCAACTTGTAAAGTTCCAGTCTGGAAAAATAAAATTCCATGGTTGAATACCTCTATAATACATCTCCTAAAGTTGAAAGCTTCTTCACTGAAAACTTATAGAAAATCAAAAACTTCTGAAAATCGGTCTCGTTTAAACAGTTACAGAAATAAATGTGTTGCTGAATTACRCAAAGCCAAACAACAATATTTTAAAAATCAAATTATTTCAGCCAGTAAGAATCCAAAAATATTATGGGAAACGATTAAGTC